CTTAGGTGTGTCTTGGGTAAACTATGTATTTTTTTCCAGTAGCTTTTGTATGTGCTCGTCTAGACTACACGCTAAGCAAATGAGATGCTCGGGATGCTAACCGCATTTTGATGTGATTTAAGACTCGTTACTCATCTTTCACGCTACTTCAAGTGACACTTCCCATCCATATAAATTGAGAGAATGTCTTATTTAGCGCTCAGCCAGGAATGTCAAGCCACTGAGGAAGCTGCCAGTAAAATAATCTCGCGCTGACGTCAGCTCACAAATCCATATGATAACACGATTTCTCCCGTCGGTCTCCCCTGTGTTTTCGCGGCAACTTCCTGACATGTGTCCCGTGACCGACTGAGGAGGAATTCTGCCCCCTCCCCCCTACATCGCTAATGAAGTTCATTCTTCAAGTTCCCAGCATGTGAAGCGCATTTTGGTTGACGGACGGTCTCAAAAATGACTCGGTGTATTGTTTTGCTTTTTAACCAATTGATCCCCCCGTCATTTTTACGACGACGCTACTTGTCAGAACAAGACCGCGGTGGTTTCTCGTCCTCATGCATGCACAGTAAGTGCAGCAACGGGTTCGACCATCAGTGACTACTATTGTGTGCTTTCCTCACACTTCCCTTGGTTTTATCCTCTTTGCATGACTTGGCGACAGCTTTGAATTTGAAGAAATCAAAAGGACTGAGCGAAAGCGACTTTTCCCGCCCCACCGATGGCTTGAAACACGAATGTAGCCAAACGTTAGCGTGCAATTAGGGTTGTGACTACTTTTCAGACTGGCAGAACAGTATATGAGTATTTTTTTTTTAACACTGTCGTGCACCCTATAACCTGATAACATAAGACGTCAACGGGAGTAACCGTGAAAGAGTAAATGTGAGCCGTCGCTCTGATTTTTTTTTTTTTTTTTTGGTGATTTTTTTTGCTTTGACGTGTGAGGGCAATCTTAGGACACAAATGCTATACGGTGGATGTAAACTCCTTCAACTCAACCAGCCTTGGGGGGGACTGCGTTCCATAAACGGGAGTTTTATTTTGGGATTCCCATATGTTGGATTTTACGACTATGCTCGGTGGTCCGTTTCAGTGGTCGCAAACCATGTCCCCGAAATAAATAGAAAGCATCGTCTCAGTTCGACATTGTGGTCTTCAGCACCTGCAAAAACAGAAGTGACGGCGCGGCGTGTTTTAATTGTATCTAATTTTTATTTCCCTTGACATGACAGCGTGGTGATGCAGAGTGGGAAAGAGTCGGCATGGCCCGTGACTGTTCTGTAATTAGGGAGATGGATGGAGTTTTGCGGTTGCTCCTCCGACACACCTAATCAATGGGTGGGGTGGCAACACACAAACATACATGCCTGTGTATAACTCGTGTGTTTGCATATGGTGTCAATTGTGGCCTAAACGTTTACGAAAAGCATCTGGCCGGGTTTCTAAGTTTACAAGAGTGAAGGTATACAAAGCTATTCGATCGCCTATATACTGTAGCGACAGCGTTTTATTGCATAATATCCTTTACTCATTATCAAGTATCAAGTACAACTTTATTGTCAAATGTGCACAGATGAAATTTCCTCTCTCTTAAACAGACAACAGACAACAAGAGGAGCCGCCGCGGGTGCCCGCGTCGCTGTTAGGAGTGAAAAGGAACAGGGTTTGATCACTTGTAATCAATCTGGAGATATGCACTGTTGTTTGGTTTTTATACAATAAAATTAAAAACAAATTGACTCACATTTTCACTAATTATTTCTATGAGGTCAACGAGACTACAAATGTTCCCATTGTTTGCTAGCTTCTTGCTTCCTACCTCTGGTCAGTTTGAATGATTGACACCCCATTTTGAGCAAAAAAGAGAGCAAAATGAGTATTGAATCAAGTTTGGTAGGCCTGCATTAACAATGTGAAGTACTAGATGGTGGCTAGCGTGCACTAGGAGACACCTTATATCATTGTAGCAAGAATATTCGTGGAAGCTATCATTTCCTCTATAAAAAGAGTTCTCCAAAATCCCCCCGCAAAAAAGACCTTCCACACATGTCTGTCTGTCTTAAAAAGGGAGCACACACAATCTCCAGACAGCGGCATGTGGTGAAAGTTGAGAAGGGCCTGACGTTGACACTCGCCGGAGAACCTGTAATCGGCTTGGACACAACCGGAACATTCCAGGGCAGCAGCCCAGTGACCTTGCGAGTCCGCTTGGCTTCATCACGCTCATCATCTACCATTCCTGCGTCGCTGTCATAGACGTTTACGGTTCCGCGGCGTAGCCTAGCGTAGCATTCCAGCGACCGGAGGAAGAGGTCGGATTGGCTCCACGCGCGATTGGCTGTAATCTAGTTATATCGCTTATAGATGAGCGCCATGTCATAACTAACATTACCTTGGACTGCATGTTTTTGAAACTCGCTGGAAAGTGGTATCGGTGTCATAGTATCGGAACCTAATAAATTAGTTCGATTAGATCAGGAGCCTTGAAAACTCCCACACAGCGATCATAATCAAATTTAACGGCTGGTTTAAAAATGATGTGCTCTACTGTTGTTTTTTTTTTTTAATGAGCTGCGGTGGTTTATGTGGCTGTATTGATAGCGATGCTAATTGGGCCGAGCAGTTGCGGGCCAGAAGCAAAGCCACAGATCTTGTGACCCAATAATCCAATTAGGCTTTTAGCTACGTGCCTGCGCGCTGCCACATTCCACTTAGCTCGGCCATCAGTCACTTCCTGACTCACACACGCGCACACAAATATGTTTATGTTTGACTTGTTTCCCCTCCCCCCTTAAAAAAAGATACTAATTGGCTCAATCTGTCTTCATTAGTTGCTGGGTGATAACCAGGAAACGGGCCGGAATTTGAATCAGCACGCCGCTGAGCCTTGCAGCCATTTCCCCTCTTGACCTTTGACCCCGGTGTCATTACAGATGATAACCACACGGGGGGAAAAAAAAACCCCCAAAAAAATTGTGTTCGCAGCACTCGGAAGTTCTGAGACCTTTGTTGAATCCCACGCGGTCAAATTGAGTTGGAATCAGGTGACGAGTCATAAATATATATATATATATATATATATATATATATATATTTTTTTTTTAAGACCATGCGTAGTTGCAACTGATTCATTTCGACATTCAATGTCAATTGTTTCGTATTTATCTATCGGTTTTGCTTTATGGATATAGGCCTTATCGTATAGAAAATGGTCACAGATGTGTTAAAGATTTCATTTCTATCAAGTACTTAATTTATTTTTCGGTTTCAAGTAGGGACGTTCAACAGCACTTTTTCAGAGCGGTTACCAGTACGAGTATTCATTCTTGATTGAGTATACGCCGATACCGATACTATGTACCGATACCACTAGAATTTATGATGCACAAAATTTTAAGATATCTGTGCTCACCCACTGCTAGTTTTAAATCATGTGCCAAGAATATAAATGTAGACTAGAGGTGCGTTATGGACAAAAATCTTTTCTCCTGATCCAGGTAAACTTAATATCTCACGAACTTTTTGAATTAACATTCATGGTGTATGTTTCATTTCATTAACGCCACTGTCTAAAAAAAAAAAAAACAGCAATGACTGCACTCCCGCTAATAATGTCAGCAATGTCCCGGCTGCTCCACCCAACCATAAATTACTCCAGAAAGTGATCCGTCGTTACGACAACCCCCACCCCCATCCCACCGCTCATCGACAGCCTGTACGGAGTAGGCTGACTGTTGTTCGCATGACGTTAACATAACAAACAGTGTGTTCCTGTCACCAGGCCAACCTCAAAGAGCCGCTAATAAATCAAAAAGGTCACTGTCAGGGCTGGGCGGGATTGGCTGAAAATCCATCTGGGTCGTTAACCTCGGTGAAATTATACCACATAGCGCGCACCACGACTGGCACTCATGTTGCTATCGCTTCAAAGATGCTCACGTGAGGTGCCAAATGGGCGGAACCTTGGCTGTGTGTACAGCAAGTGTGTGGATGCGTATCTCCTTTGAGAAACACAGTGAGATTGTTCTCTTATGTAATATTTCCTCTCCTCGCAGCTTGATTCCCTTGCCCGCTTGCCAACTTGTCTCCCTCACTACCTCGCGCCGTCCCTCTGGGCCGCAACCAGCACCTGGACGTTCCAAAAAAAAAAAAAAAAAAAAAAAAAAGAAGAAAAGTAAAGAAAACAGAGAGACGAGTGTTGTTTGTGGCCACAAGAAAAGGCAGCTGGCTGAAGTCAGCGCCTCCATTCAGAGGCGGTGATGAAAAAGCCTTGAAAGAGCTCAGTTGTTCCCACACTGAGCATCTTTGCACTGATCAACTGTATGTGATCCTCCCGTTGGGAGGAGCGCTTGGAGATGGAACAAAACGCAGCGTCGCGGTCCAATGAAAAGTTCTATTTATTTAGTTAAAAAAAAAATGGTGTCTACAAATGTATTCATAAATAAGCACCAATTTGGTCGGCATGTTTCGATTGGACAGTGACAACATATTTTTCACTCTTGCTATTTAAAAAATTTTAAAAAAGGCACTTTGCATGTCTTCCCCATGACTGTGTGGGTTTTCTCCGGGTATTCCGGTTTCCTCCCACGTTCAAAAATCATGCATGGCAGGCTGATTGAACACTCAAAATTGTCCCGAGGTGTGAGTGTTAGCGCGGATGGTTGTTCGTCTCTGTGTGCCCTGCGATTGGCTGGAACCAGTTCAGGGTGCCCCCCCCCCCCCCCGCCCCCTCCCCCCCTGCCGGTCTTTTGTATCCAGCAGCTGCGTGTACATGCTCGGCCGCTGGCGCTCCATGAGGGGCACCTTCTTACAGAAAAAAAAAAAAAAAAGAAAAAAAACGTTAGCATGGGCATGCTAACGAGAATCAATGTTCTCTTGATAGCAAAAAAAAAAAGGTTTGTCTTTCTGGATCAAGACAAAAAAATTGTTGATACTTTAGCGTCCGTGTTTTTTCACTTGACACCGGCGCAATTTAACGTGGTGTTTTTGTGTTCTCTTTGCAGGGTCGTCGACATACGAGGATGACCACGGACCTCCTGTTGCAAGGGTGAGTCCCCTTTTTTTTTTAATTAAAGCAGCCGACATAACTGCCAAGCCAAAAAAAAAAAAAAAAAGACCAGTTTGCCCACTGAATATTTCTGAATATGTGATGCAATGTTTTGCACTCCCAAGAAAGTGAAAGTCAGAAGGCCGCTGGACACTTCCAGGAAGTTGATTGCTGGGAGAAAAAAAAAAGGGGGGATTACGTAACAGGTCTTTTTTTTTTCCCCACCTTACCTCAATCTCCAGCTTGCAGTGTTACAGCTCTGACAGACACGCTCGCCATTTCCTCGACGTGACCTCTTCTCGGTGCCGCACACATTTCCACGATACACACGCTCACGCAAAGTTTTGGCATCATTTTTCAGACATGAAGTTTGTTGTTCTTACGTCCGTGGAAGATTTGATTTACTTCTCAGCCACAACAAGACACATTCAAGTGTCATTGATGGATTCGCATTTAATGGCTCGGACATCTCGGAAGGCTACGATTAGCACATCAAACACAACCGCGGTAACTTAATAAAATGTGTCATAAATAAAACTTTGAGCGCTTTGTCACAGCAAAAAACAGTTGGCCGTTTTTATTTCAAATGATGCTAAGTGACGGCGTTCTTGTCATTGTTTTATTTTTCTTCGGCCCCAATAAATTGCTCTGATGAAGATTTTCCAATCCTCCAAATCTTGTAAATTTTTTATCTCGGAGAACATTTGTGTTGTTGGGTTAACAAATATGTAATAGAACAATACCAGCGGTGGAGTATTTTATTAAAATGTTCCTTTAAAACACAAAAGAAGACACAGCAAGTCTGCCATTTTGGTCTGAAGCGGCCATTTTGAAGTCCCTCTGGCCATTTCCAGGTGTCCTTCAAAGACTAGCTAGCTTCACCGATTTTGTGCGACTAAATTCCAATTACATAAACTACACCAATGTTCGTCAAACCAGCTAACTTTTTTTTTGGGTTTGTTTCAGCACCGCTTAACGGCAAAGCGTTGCGACAAAGTCAGAAAACACAACACTTGAATATCTTCCCTCCACAACATCAGATCATGACCAGACACAGAATCCTTTTTTTTTTTTCTTCAAAGGACGTCCCCTCAAAAAAAAAAAAAGTCATATTTTCAAACGCGAGTAAAAACCAAAGGTGGGCGTGCGTTCTTGTCGTGCCTGCTTCTCCGTGCGGATGTTATTCTTAGCGTCGCGTGGTTTTTCTCTACGCTCTCATTTTTGCATGGCGCTCCAAACTGTCATGTCAAAGTTATAATCTTTGGCCACATTTACCGTTAGCGCCTGCACATCTGCATGCACGCATACTTCGACACACACACACACACACACACGCGCGCGCCACAATACGAGCAAAACATCAGTAGTCATTTTGAGCCAGGGCGTTGATAAAATGCCCTGGAGGTGGTGAATGCGACGTTCGCCGGCTAACGTGACTGTCTGGAAGATGATAAATTAGGAAACGGGCCATGAACCGCACTCAACTTAAACGTTCGGCACGTCCTGCGCGCTCACGTTGCGCTTTGAATTATCGTTTGGCCGACTCCGTCGCGACAAGTTCGAAGTGAAGCAACACGCTTGACAGAAACGTGTGTGAACTTGTGACACAACCTGTGAATCGCTTTTTTGTGTGTGTGTGTGTGTGTGTGTGTGTGTGTGTGTGTGTGTGTGTGTGTGTGTGTGTGTGTGTGGGGGGGGGATGCGTGCATGCCCTTCATCCCTTGGCCCAATACCACACACAGAGCGGCGCACGCACATTCACACCTTGTTCCCGCGCGGGAGGCAATTTCGTTTCATCCTCGCGTGCCAGTCAAAACCACAAACAAGAAGCGAGACTTGGCGTGACGTCACGGCCGCGCTCTTCCTCATCGCGCGTCGCCTTCGCCGTTTCGCTTCCCGTTGTTGCTCTCGCGGGCTTCTCATCTGGCAAAAGATTCCGTTTGGAACTCGTTCACAGTTCGGCGACCAAAATTCAGCTCAGAGCGTCTGTGTGTGTGTGTGTGTGTGTGTGTGTGTGTGTGTGTGTGTGTGTGTGTGTGTGTGTGTGTGTGTGTGTGTGTGTGTGTGTGTGTGTTGATGCAAATTAAATGTGTCTGCAGCACCAGAGTGTTGCATTGGTGCCAGCAATCGCCCGGTAAATCGTCCGCGATCCAATTTATGGCCTGGTGTGTTCTAAAAAATAATATTTCTTCTCATCCTACGTTAAGAGAATACTGTACTGTCCAACCAAATATGCCCCAAAGTCAGTTGAGCTTTGAAAAGGGACCGGCGGCGAATGTGTTTCGATTGAATAATTTCATTGAAAAATCATTCTGACATGAGTTAATAAATCTCATTTCTAAAACGGAGTTTTCTGCGTCGAAAGGAAAAATTGGAAATTGGTTCGGAGTGGGTTGACTGTGGGACACATGGAATCACGCCCCCCCACACACACTCTCCCCGCCACCCCCTCTCTTAGGACAACATTATTACAATTCCAGACTGGGAATGTTAACAAGAACCCATCACTACCTGCATTCCTCTTCCCATCAGGAAAAGGAGATAAAAGGAACACGCTTTTTAAGTCCGGTACCCAAACTATGTTTTGAGATCTTTATCAAGTTATTTTTTTAAACTCCTCCAAGTTTGTTTTTTTTTTTAATAGAATTGTTACATCTCTTCCGAATCCTTGACTCACATCCTGTCAATTTGCGGAACTCTTCCTCTTTACATTTCCTTCAGCGGTATTTCACAAGAAAAACAAGATCATTGACCGAAACGTGACTAAATCTTCCCCCGTACTTCTGCTTAGCTGACACTTGGGTTCAATTATTTTCATTCTGTTGAGTCACTGAGTCATGGCCGCTTAAGCGGTGCGTCACGAACGGCAATCGCCCGTCTACATTTCCGAGCAATGCGCTCTCGGTGGGATGCGCTGCAAACTCGATAAACATGCTTGCTGGCTTACGTGCGTGCGTGCGTGCGTGTGTGTTCCCTAGGTGCTCCCATTCCCAAGTCAGGTGGTGTACAACCGCGTGGGCAAATGCGGCAGCCGCACAGTCGTCATCCTTCTGCGCTTGCTGGCCGAGAAGCATCGGTTCAACTTGATCTCGTCGGACATCCACAACAAAACGCGACTCACCAAAGATGAGCAGGTGAATAAGAAATGTTTTTTTTTTTTGTCTGTTCCTTGCCTCTTTTTATCAAACGGCTTGTCCTACGCGGGGCCAAAACAACAACGTGTTAGATGAGATCGGGCGTCAGATATCGAGGGCATCCCAGCAGCAGGGGGGGGCGAGGTCCGCCGTTTGCATCATCAAGCTACTCACATCTACGCCGGCTAAGTTTTGGGACGCTGGTCTGCAACCCCTTACCCCAAACCAGCGATGCTCGTGGTGCACTCGTGGGTTGACGCCAAGCGGACTTGCGGCAGGCATAGTGACCCGTCTGTCCTGTTTTGGGAACCCACAGGCGAGTGGGATCGGTGGAGGGTGCGTGAAAGCCCACTTCCTGCCCGAGCTCCAGAAACAGAGCCGTAGGCGGTGGCGCCTGCACTCTTGCAGGACTTCCCCCAAAAACAAACTCCTGGGGGGGGGGGGGATGTTGAAACTGTACAACCCCAAACAACGTCGCGGAGATTCTTTGCGAGCAACCGGTGTACAGTGAACCCCGTTTTTAATCGCACGGAAGGCCTTCCAGAGCCGACCACTGGACCCGATTTGGTACCGTGCCCACTCAAATGTGAACAGTGTAGATAGGAAAACAACCCAGCATTTTTCTTTTTTTTTACTAAATGGAGTTGCTTTTTTTTACTGTTTACAGCAATTACATTTTATAAAACCAGTTTTATATTGTTTTTTTTTTTCGAATAAATTCAAAAAAAATTCCGACAAAACTAAATGAGTTGCTTTTTTTTTTTACTGTTTACAGCAATTATGTTTTATAAAACCAGTTTTATATTGGGTTTTTTTTTCGAATAAATTAGAAAAAAACTTCCTACACAACTAAATGAGTTGCTTTTTTTTTACTGTTTACAGCAATTACGTTTTATAAAACCAGTTTTACATTATTTTTTATCGAATAAATTACCACAAAAAAATTCCTACACAACTAAATGAGTTGCTTTTTTTTTTTTTACTGTTTACAGCAATTACATTTTATAAAACCAGTTTTATATTGGGTTTTTTTTTTCGAATAAATTACAAAAAAAATTCTGACACAACTAAATGGAATTGCTTTTTTTTTTACTGTTTACAGCAATTACATTTTATAAAACCAGTTTTATGTTTTTTTTTTCCAATAAATTCCAAAAAAATTCCTACAACTAAATGGATTTGCTTTTTTTTACTGTTTACAGCAATTACATTTTATAAAACGAGTTTTATATTTTTTTTTGATAAATTACAAAAAAAAAATTCCTACACAACTAAATGGAGTTGCTTTTTTTTACTGTTTACAGCAATTACATTTTATAAAACCAGTTTTACATTATTTTTTATCGAATAAATTACCACAAAAAAAATTCCTCCACAACTAGATGGAGTTACTGAATAAAGTCGCGATACCACCGTAT